GCCCCTGCCCCTGCCCCTGCCCCTGCCCCTACCCCTGCCAGGAGAGAGGATATGACTTGGACTGCCCATCCCAACCCGACTGAAGTCACTTGTGATGCCAACAGCCATGTGCCAGCTTCCCTGGGAGTGACTGGCTTGGCTCTAGTTGGCCACCTTTTGGTCACTTGCACAATTGGGTCCAGTCACCTGTGATAATGAGATGGGGTCATTCAACCAATGAATCAGAAAGCACTGAGACAGGAATGAGCCAGTTGGAGACTCAGCGTTCCCCAAAGCACTGCTCCCCTTTCCAGTGCGGGACACTGCAGACCTCAGGGTGTGCGTGCCCCTCAGAGGAGAACCCGGCCCTTTACATACTATGATCTGCTTTTGTGGAGAGCTTAGCTACCTCAACACATAGTAATTTCCCTTTCCGTATAAAATCAAGAACTTACAGTGGGGTATACTGTCACACGCCCATAACCCCGGCCTTGGGAGGCCCAGGTAGAAGGATTGCAGTGAACTTAAGGCCAGCCTGGGCTCCATAGTGAGCTCAAGACCAGCCTAAACTACATGGTGAGATCCTGGCTCAAAAAAAACAAAAATTAAGATCAAGTGGAGTGTTTTCACCTTTTCACCAAAAGGAAACACCATGGAGCACCCAAGTGGGCAGCGATACCACTCTTAGATTCGGGAGTTCCTCAAACACACGCGCCTTGATGAGGGACAGTTGGTCTGACAGTGGACCTGGCTGCTAAGTGACTAACAGAAGGCGACCACAGGCGGTGTGGGCAGGCTGGACCTGGCGAGCCATGTCCGAGGAGAGTGGGTGCGCCAGCACTGGGTGTGAGAGTTCAGCATCCCACGGCTGCCCTGAGCGTACACACACTGTTTATTTCTGGAAATTTCCACTTACCAGTTTCAGGCCTTAGAGGATTGCATGAGTAACTGGAATAAAGAAAGGAAAATCCCAGAGGAGGGAGGAATGCTTGCACAGGTGAGGGTCCTCAGAACCAAACTAGACTTAAGACAGGGCAACTGGCTGAGGGACATTCCCTACACAGTGACACCATTGTCCCTGTCACAGAACCAATCAGAAAAGTGCTCCGTAAGACCACTCAGAATCTTACCATTTTACATCCCTCATTTGAATCTGGTGCTGTTCACAGGACCAATCAGAAGATGCTCTTGGCAATCCTTCATTTGCATGTGGGCACAGCCAATCAAAAGACTGTGCTCCTGATCTTTCATTTACATAGAACAGGAAGCCAAGAGAGTGTTTAACAGGACGACTGTCCCAAAGCCTTCCTTACAGGAAAGAGATAACCCGGGAATGTGGGAGATTAAAAAAAAAAAACCATCCCCTTGTCCTGGGGGCTGCCGTGAGCCTGTGCACCTGCCTACTCTTAGTCTTTTCTGCCTTCCTTCAGTAAATGTACACTTCCACAGCCTTTTCTGTGGGCCTTATCTAATTCTTTGTTCGGAATACCAAGAACCTAGGGAAAACCCCACAGTTTCCCACTGGGTGACAGAATCACTGTATTAAACCCTGAAAGGGCAGGCAGCCCGAAGGCAGGCCTGCAGGACTGTCAGTCGCAGATATAGCCAGAGCCTCCAGTCCCAGCCCAGCAGCCCGGCCCCGAGTCCCGAGTGAGCCCTGTAACCCGTGCACTGTGCGTTGCAAAGCCACTCACTAGGTCTGTTCCTCCCTTATTTTCTAAAATTCGACCCCCTCTGCCTCCCCAAAGATGCCACCGTCACATCCTTGTTTCCCTGCTCTGCTGTTTCCAGCAAACTCTCCATCTTTGGGGAGTCTCTGTTATTTAGGGTCTCACCTGGCAGACCAGCATTTCCCAAAGTCCCTCAGGTGAGAAACTCGCTTAGCCGGGAATGCCTCATGGGCTTGGTGGCAAAGGACCTGGGGATCAATCGCACTTCTCAGATATTTAGGGGTGATCACTAACTGCCAGGCGCCGTTCCGCAGACTTAAATGTTGGGGAGATCCCAGGTTAGACAAGGGAGACAGGTTTTTCTGCTGCAACTCCTTCCTGTCCTTGGGCTGCTCTGACACCTGTGACAAGGCTCCCCGTTTGCACTGTCTTCTGGGTTTATCACGCAGGTGCGCTCTCTGACAGCATTAAGGGTCACGAGCCATGCTGTCTAGGGAGACAGGGATGGTGGTGGCCACTGTCGGCAACTACACCCCACCCGATGATCCCCACCACACCCCTGCATCACGCACTCCCCAGCGGAGTGCTACATGGTGACTGTTGCAGGCTTGAATGTGTTTGTTTGTTTGCTGGCTTGTTTGTTTTAAGACACGGTCTCACTATACACTCGCTATGAACTCAGCATGTAACCCAGGCTGGACTCAAACCCCTGGAAATCTTCCTGCCTCAGCGTCCTGGATGCTGAGATTACAGGTGTGTGCCATCACACCTGGCTATGAGAATTTTAAGACATA